AACATGTACGCAGTGAACATTATTATTTGAGTGTTTATCATATGATACAAAAATTATATTTTTTTATAGGAACACAGGAAGGTCTCTGCTATTAATAAACTATGGTCCTAAAATTCTGGGATCTTTTAAGATGTTTTTTATTTATAACTAATGGTGTTTAAACAGATTGTTGCTCGAAGTAAAATTAACTTGTTTATGTGATGGCAGTTTAGTTGTTTCAATCGGGTTTTTGAAAATATATTTGGGCGAATGACTTGAACAACAAACAATTTAAATTTAAAAATTTTAATTTTTAAATTTTGTACCTAAAATAGATCACTCTCCCAAAAATGTACCTTAGGTTCGATTAACTGAAGAGTTTTTGGTCAATATTGAATAGAAAATTGTACAAGAAATGGGAAGCCGTCGAATTTTTTTAAAGCTTAGAGAAATCGATCCTGTTCTTGTCCAGAGGTGAATGAAGCAAATCAGAAGAAAATTAAGGGCTATTGTAGATAATAGCCTATTATAATAAATAATTGGATATGGATTATTTATTGATGTTTATATTATCCAATCATGGTTACATTTAGTTTTATAAAACAGTTTTGAAAAAATTATTAACATCTAAAAAAAAATCAGCATATTAGGACCAACCCGGTTAATTAGAACAATAAAATACTTGTCATGCCTGACTGCTTGAGGAAAACACAATAAAAAGTCGAAAGATCGCGACAAATTTAAACAAGTATTCTAATGTTGCACAATCAAATCTTTCAATAACTTCAAGGACGTAGAAAAATGTAAAGTTAGGACGATATATTAAATAACACATGTGCAAAATTAGAGAACTTAATTAGACACGTTTCCTCATTGTTTAATTAGTAAATTGAAGTTTATTGATTACCCATTTAAATCATTATGGGGCAAGTAACGAAATTTGATTTGATTATTATTATTAGAACATTGTTAATAATCAAATAAATTTACTGGATTTTGTAAAAAAAAATCTACTTCCGCTTGTAAATATTGCTACCGTTACTCATTTGCTTGGTTTTATATATAAACATAATTTTGTCCGGGAAAAGTTGCGATTTGTATTTAATCAAATAACACTGAAACTGAAGTACTCCTAAATAATTTCAACCTACTTGAACATTTGCTCTCAAGTAATAATTTACAAGTTCGTCGATCACTAATTAATTTAGATTGAAGTACTGTCAACTTTTCAGGTCGATTAAAAACGAAATTTAACGGAATATAGGTAAAAATTATTGTTATTTGAAACAGCTTAAAGTAATTTAATTTCTCTTACGCCATTCTTGAGTAATTAATGTTCATAGAAGCGGATAAGCACTTTTAGTTTATTTACGTGGAATTTTCTGATCCTTATCAAATTAAACTGAAATTAAATTTAATTAAAGAGTAATTCAGGGCGAAAATCACGTTTTAAATTTTAAATTTGGCCAAAGAAACCATCGTTAAGCTTAATACAATGATTATCTATCTAAATAAAAAACTTCCAACACCTAATTCCGCTGCAGGCAGAGACCCTTGTAAATATTCATTAAGCACAACTAATCAAAATGACAATAATGAATGTGCAAAGTTTGAGGCAAGATTTCCTAATTTTCTCGAGATTTTTTCTGAAAGTTTTCTAGTTTTCCAGACCGAAATAAAAACTACCCAACGAGAATCGTGTGATTTATGGCGATAAATAGTAAAATTTTTCGCATTTCATATTTATGAAACTATTTCTTTCAAATTATTTATTTCGCCCAAGTTAAATTTAACGAAAAGCTAAAGATATTCGTGGAAAAACAACGGAATCTACCGACACCTACAGAATTTTATTTAATTCCACTCCAAATCATTTTTATTTTTATATGATAAAACTCCACGTCTGTTGTTATACTTACTTAGTGTATTATTGATCAAAAGGTATTACGTATTAATACAACCATATTTGTGAGATGCGCTGTGCTGTATAAAGTAGGGTAAATATGTTTTGAGTAAATTAGTGTCTTCTCCAGTTAACTGCGTTACAATGAAATATGTACTCAGTGATGTCAAAAGAAAACATTTTGCAATTAATGTAGCTTCCGGCGCTTACACTACAGTAGAACAAGAAGTTTATACAGATTTATGATCGCAAAATTCTTAGACTCACTAAAGCCAAATAGAATATAAAATGAGTTACATCAAAAGGTGTAATTTTTATTCGGAATAAGAGGGAATCATTGATTGATTATTACATTATTTTTATATTTGTAAATTTATATAATAAAAGTTGTACATAGTTTTTTAGTTTTTAGTTTTTATTTTTTTTGTATATGCTCCCATTTGAGTCCCCAAAATAAGTCTTTTTCGGACTCATTAAAATAGTATGCAAAATAGTTATTTTGTTACTAGTACCCATGGCATGGTAATTAAAATTCGAAGCTAACTATTTTCGAAGAATTTTTGCTCTGATGACATTAATCATAAATAATAAGAAGTGTGAAGGTGTTTTTGGGAGTATTAACAAAAAAATGTTTTTTGTAACATGTAGGTACATCTGCTATTTGCCTCGTTAGCAACGATTCGGCCGCGAAAACTGTATTCAAATACAGTCTAAAGAAATGAGGATTTTCCTAAATTACAGTAGTTTTTTCTAGGAAAATTATACTAAAAATTTTAGTTCAACTAAATAAAGCACACACAGAAAAACAACTTAAGTTCTGAGAACTTATTAGATAAAATAAATAATTACACTTTCAAATAATATTAAAATTATAATTGTTTCCCAAAAAATAACTTTCTAACCTTAATTACCAGGCAGTCATCGATCACGATATAGTCGCTCATAGCTTGATGGACATGGAGTTCAATTAGATACCACTAAGAAAGAAATTAGTGAACACATTAATCATTTGTGACAATAAATGCTACTTCTGGGCTTTTAAGAATTGATTGCTTAATCCAGAAAACGTCTAACCCCTTCAGTGTCAATTTTTTTAATAAGTGAAGAAATCATTCCAATCAGGTCAAAACTCACCCGTCCGTTCTTTATTTTTAACGCCTAGGATGTAAGATACCGTTGGGAAATTAGATCAATGCATTTTATTTCCTTTTCGTTTTTTGTTATCTTTTGCCCACCCCAAACGTCAGTGCGTATTTACAATGCTGTGTTAACAATTTAGGAAGTTAAAACACGATCAGGGAACAACCATGTTTACGTACTCTTCCGGTAATAAATTGAAATCAAATCAATTTTTCAAGTGTTCAAAATACCCAAAATCAATCAAGATTATCACAGATTTTGCAATTATTAGAAATCGGTCAAATATGGATCCCTGGATTCAATTACGCGAAACTGAAATTGATTAAGGCTAAACATATAAGCCTTGGACCCTTCCAATTCAATTATCACGAGGTGATTTTGGGATTATTTAACAGTTTAATAAGGAGCAACATTCTAACAAGCTGAAAAATATCGTCACAGTAACACGACTCCTTACTAAATAAATTTAGAAATTCTCTTATTTAGAGAGCCATAAACCGCACATAACATTTTCAATAACAGCCCTCCATGGCGACGATATTCTTTTTTACTGCTTGACAAATAACATGTAATGAAACGACTTTTCTCGCGTTATTATTATATAGGATATAAACTGTCTAAATGCCACCATTATTATCGCGCTGCCAAATTACATTTATCATGTTTCGAGAAAATTGTCTTGATCACCAAAGATAGTTTATCGATAATCATTTTCTAGTTTGGACCCCCAGAATTGTTCCCAATTATTAAAGCGCTAAAATTACACGGCTTAGGATCCCATAAATTAGCGCCAAATAAGTTAAACGCTTTTTCCTAAAACCCTAACAAAAGGTAAATTTTTCCACCCTAATTTCAAGAAGAAAAGTGGCCAATAATCTCCCATGGAGATAAAAATTTTACTTCCCTCATCTGTCGAAATTTGAATATAATAGTAGATTACATATCGAGGTGGAAGGTGCTTCATTACCAAGGCTAAAATTGATGATTAAGGGGCGAAGCGCCGCGGTAATCAATAGCCGAGGGACGATGAAGCAACGACCACCAAGGTTTGTAAACTATTTTATACACAATGATTCTCCATAAAAAAACAGAAAGCCAATAATAATGTATCAAGTTTTGAAAAACATGAAATGACAGTTCAGGTTGGGAAGTGATCACTTCCTTATCACTTGTCGGGTTGGGAAGTAGCCATTTCCCAACCTCAACTGCCATATTTCATATCAACTAATAAGGAAGTATTCCTAACCTGAACTGTGTATTTGATGATATATCATACTTCCCAACTTTTCGCATGCAAGGTAATTTGATTATTGCTTTAGATTGTGAATAAAAATATATGTAACCTTTCAGTTAGTTAAAAATTTTACCTCCCTCATAGAAACGGAAAAACATGCTGCTAGATTTAATAGCAAAACTGTAATATCAAGAAAAATTGTTAGTTTTAAAAATTTTTCTTGTCGGATCATCGGAAAAATTATATAATTACACTGTGGGAGAAAAAGATACACTTTCATCCCTTGTATTACAAATAATTATTAAGCATATTTAATGAAAACAAAACCATTCAAAAATAACTGACGCTAGGATTTTTCCAACACTTTTTAAAATTCTCTCTTGGCAGTTAACACTGGAATCGTCGGAAGAAATTGGTAAATTGCGTTTTTGCTCCCACCGCGGACCAAAGCCAATTCCCCACATTTTCCCGATCATCAGTTTTCCCACTTTATCAATAATTCGTCGCTTCGTTTCCCCATTTCCCGAATAATTATCACGCGAAAGTATCGAGATAATCCTCAAGGATTACTGAGAAAAATTAAAGCGGGATTAATTAGCCTGCTATGAATATTGTAATTGGAAGCAACCCTAGTTTCATTGCAACACAGAAATCTTTTCATCATACACAACTTTTTTCATTATGAATATGCAAGAGGACTAATAAAAGTAATCGTAACAAAAACACATCAATTTTCAAACTTACCCTCTCGGTGCTGTCATCCTATACTTCGATCTGAAATAGAAAACAATCCAATAAGATCTACAATGGCGATATTATTTCCAAGTTTTTAGGCAATTTCAGAGAATTGAAGCTCACTTTAGATAATAGCGATTTTGCCATCAAATCTAACGACACTCTTATAAAATCTGGAACACCGTTTTCTTGAAGATTGTAGTTTATGTCAATATAAAAGGGTATCGTGTATCGTTTCATTTATGCCACGTAAACGGTCCTTTTGCCAGATTTAACGCCATACAAAGAAACATAAATTTAATAAAATTCTCCCATCATCACTTAAGATTGACAAGAAGATTAGTAAATGATTTAGGAAGGATATCTCAAACTTGGATTATAAAATACCTGAAATATATGTAGAAATAGCTAATTTTTTTTGAAATGCAATAATATGTTAGATACAAAACATCACTCACTACTTATATTTACATTCATTTAAAATCTAGATAAAGATATCTAATCAGGGAGATCTCGACTTTTATCATTTTTTAGTCATAGAATTGAAATTCCCTCTTGCTATTTAATGTAAATTTTAATAAGCCGTTTGTTAGTTATACAAAAATGTAAAAACAAAAAAACAATTAATGTCTTACAAAGAACTAATTTGCAACTGAGACTGATTTAAAATTACTCAAAAGTTTGTTAATTAAAACTTGACATTCCCCAACCGGACACCTGATGCTGGAAGAAATAATTAGCAACTTCAGTATCTACATCTTTAAATAATTTGCGAAGAAAATAATTGCTTTGATTAAATAGAAGTGAAACAAAATCCGAGCACTCCGACAAGATTCTCACTATCGATTAATCTTCTCAAGACAGAAAATCCATTCGATAAAATGTTAACACGACTTTAAGTTAACCAAAAAGTAATCAGTGTTTGTTAAACCTGAAACGTGATGCCACTTCAGCAAGCTATTCTATCTCTAATAGAGCTTGTGAACTCAGCAATCCTCAAGAATCACACCACTAACGTAATTAAATAAAGATAGAGCTTGACTTAAATACAAAAATCAAGAGTTTTCACAGTAATTAATTTGATATTTTAGGGCGGTTGTGTACTAAGAAGAGAAATTTAGGGCGAGTTTTTGTTGGTGAAATAATTTCGAGGCATAAAATATTCAAACTAAAGTAAAACGTTACTTTACGGTGGCAAGTCGTGCAATCAAACCCTCCGTAATGAATACATAATATTATAATTTGCGTTTCAGTTACATTGTAATGTAAAATTTCCCATATTTGTAACGGAAATGGCGTGCTTAAAATTCCAGTTATTTTGCTACCAAATTGTAAAGTTTGATACGCAAATTGTAAATTGCTTAATCTAACCAAGTGTTAAACTTGCTCCAAATAATTTCAAAAAGTCGTTATTGTGATTTGTCAGTTAGCATTATTGGAGAATGGAAGTAATTGGTGTTTGAAACGAAAAATGAATGGTAAATGGAGAACAAAATGCGATTTATTCCGTCGCAAGAGAGAAAATTGCGCATCATTGTTATTGCCTTCAACATAAAGCTTTATTTGTAATTCCATGATAACAAAAATATTACACGTGTTTGAACAACAATCATGCTGAAACGAATTAAAAATATTTTTTTCATGTATCAAGAGAAACGTAAAAATGTTTGTGGAGATGCTTGACTTTAAATTGGAGCCATTACGCGATTAAATTTTGTACTTTTAGAATAATCTCGCTGTTAACACAAGCTTCAAAACACATAAAACAAATCCAACAAACAATGAATAAATTAAAGAATTAAATATTTTATTAGTTTGTCAGCGACGTCTCTAGGGCAAAATTGCGATTTTATCTCGTGACAATAATAAAATTCCAATTCGAAACGTCGCCGATGAATAACAAGAACTTTTTACTTTGCAGAATTGTGTTATCGAAGCCTACAAAAGTTATCGATTTGGTGATATTAGTTAGCTTTATTGGGTTTCTCAATCTTATTTCAAAAAAGTAAGAGAAAACTCGATTTTAAGATAGAAATTGTATTTCCAGAGATTTTTTACCGTTTCAGTTATTATCTTTGTCGAGCTTTCCTGCATTGCTCGGTTTCATTTAATTTAATGACCGCTCTTAGCGAAATGCGGCAAATACGCCATGAAAACGCAATTTTTTCAAATGAGGATTCCGATGGACACATTTGCCAAAACAAACAAAACTCGAACCCAATTTGATCTTTCACTATGATTTTTTTGCAGAGGGTTACTCACTCGATTCGCGCCTCTGTGTCTTGACAACTTCAAAATGAGCGTTTTACTCATGTTGTGTTCTAAATAGTCGAATTTGTAATTGGACCCTCACGACGGGTAATTAATTATTTAATTTAAATTACTTGCCAGTTAGGAAAGTTTGGAAATACTTGTCACACGTCGAGTCTTGTGCGATTTCCTTCCGGTTTCAACACCAACACAACCATTGCCAAAAAGTGCTATCAATTAATTTTGTTAATGCACATGATACGAATTTAAATGGATTTCCGACGTATTGACGTAAATTCCGGAAGTAAATAGAGTTAGAATCAAGTTGAAAAATAGATACGTCAGGCCCATTTATTACGTTGGCGGTGTAATTTTTTAACAGGTAAACAGCAAAAATTCATTGTGTTAGTGGCTGCGAGCGTTCTCCTCGACACGCTGTCTATTTTAAGAACGGGGTAAAATGGAATAAAGTGGAATTTATAGGGGTCGCAAAGTCACTCCGTCGATACCAATTTTAGTTATAGTGATCGTTGCAGCCACTGGATGCGAACTTGTAGACAAATATCAAGACAAACGAGCGCAGGAGAACGTTCAAGGATTCAAAGTAGCGTAATGATGATATAAGGAAAGGAGTCACGTAGCAGGATCACTTTAAAAACAAAGGACAACGGAATCCCTCCACTCTCGTTAAAAGAATTTATTCGAAGGACTCGTGGCGCCATAATCTCAACAAGAGGGGCAAAAAATAAGTGGTAAGGAATTTATTTTTAACATAAGGAAGTACAGCTTTAACAAACTTCAATAAAACATTTGTATCTGTCGGGAAATAAGAAAAGAAGCTTCGAGAGAACATTACTTATATGAACGGATCGATCTGTCACACATCCTTACGGGAATCAGGACCTGGAAGAATAAAATGCTACTGGAATTACAAATCCAAAGCGTTCAAAGGTTACACCAAATAAAAATTTAAGAGAAAAAATCATCACTTAATACAGGGTGCGCCAGAACTTCGCGCCCCAGAGAAAAATGCCATATAAAGTAAGACACCAAGAAGATGGAAAAAATGTTAAAAAAATTTTATCTATAAAAATTTCGAAGTTATGAGGGTTTAAAGTTTGCACTTTAACTCTATTTATTTCTGTTGGAAAAATAATTTTCCAAGTTTTTTTGCTATAGGCTATTAAAAGAGGAACAAGGAAGCTGTATCCTAAATTGTAACTCTGTTCAATGTTATTTGTGGCTTTTATTGGCACATTTTTGTCCCTTTACTAAATAATTGTAAAAAAACATATACAAGATCATCAGTATCATTAAATAGATTTAAAAAAATGTCAAATGTCAAAAAATAAATGTCAAAATTTTTTGACACATAGAATTTTTTAAACATTTTTTTCATTTTTCTGGTATCTTACCTTACTTGGAAAATTTCTCTGGGGCGCGAGTTCTGGCGCACCTATATATGATCACCTAAATATTATTAAGAAAAGCAAACCCGGCAAACATCAGTTTTAATTTTCAATATTATACTTTAGATTAGTTGGAACAATTGGTAAAATAATGTTTGATTATTTCGTTTTGTGCTTGAATTTACTGTTGAATTTTTTATGTTTTAATTAATTAAAAAGTGAATCGTAAAATATACACAATCCATTTCAATTATTAAAAGTTCGCAGGTCATACAATCATAAAGTACATAATAGTTAACTTAATCTAAGAGACTTATAAACATTCTGTGTGAAGTAATCTAAGACAATTCTAAATATAAACATTCTGGGTAGTTATAGTTCGTTGTCTATGTGTTATTCAATATTCACGTAATAATAGTCATAATAAAAAATATAAATAAACTGAAAGTGCAAAGAAACAGGTATCTCGGATTCATGTTGAGTAAACTTCCGTTACTTCATTACTTCATTAAAATTTTTTGTCAATTATATTTCCTGCATAAAAATATTAATCCCAATTAATTTATTAAAAATATTTACACAAACAAGGTTGCAACAATAACAAATTGCACAAAAACGAATAAATAATCTACAATATTTAATTATCAATTGCTAATAATAATATAATTTTATATGTATACTTAATATATAATAATAATTAAACCACAATTTTCAATAAAAGAGTAACTGAGAAAACAAGTTACATTAATTAGAATTTTGTGTCAAAGGTTAATTTCAGTCAATCAATAAATGACGATACAAATATACAAAATTCAGATAAATACAAATGTGTACTGAGTGTCATAATTAGTTGTAAAAATTTACTAAAGCTTTTTTAGGACAAAACAAATCAATAACTTATTACATCTTAACAGCAAAATAATCCCCTTAAAAAAACAAGGTGTTAGAAAAAAAAACATTTTCAACATTTGTTATGGTTTTCTATTTTGTATCATAATTTTAAGTTATGTGTTATAATTATAATGTATTTTACCTGCCAATTTATAAAAACAAAAATATCCCGTATCTTTTTAAGGGAGCATTGTGCTACTAAGGTGTATTAAGTTAATTGCTTTACTTTGTCCCAAAAAAGCTTCGATATAAAATTTATACGTAATTGTGACACCCTGTGTAGACAGAATATCGTGATTTAATTTTCGTTGGAAGTCCAAAAACACAAAAATAATACAAACAAGAAATTGTGTATTTTTATCTACATATTTCTTCACACATAATGATTCGACACGCACAAAATTAATTTTGTAAATACACCTCAAACTTCTAGAATCTGGATTTTCTCTAAAAATTTAAATTTTTTTTTTAATTTTCGTTCAAGAATTT